CCGAGTCATTCGTTGATAAAATAATTACAGCTGATATACATATGAGAACTGACTTCGTCATTACGAAACTGGAATTAACAGGAACGCTGCAGTGATTAAAAAGACGATTCCGTCTACTATTCAATTGACTATGCTGATTGCTGCTGCAAAGTCGCAAGAAAAAATTAACTCGCAAAAGAAAAATGTAAAAACACGAACGTATAATTAAAGCAGTCTACCTCGTACGAGCTAAATAGATGATTGAAAATGTAGAACCGCTGCTAACCGCACTGTGTACCGTCACAATGCATGTACTCCTTACACGTAGCAGCCATGGATACGTGTAAAGCATAGGAGAGAAACGCTCGACGGCAAATATTTAAACACAGAAGCAATGATTACACGATGACAAGAGGTATAGTCTTGCCGTCTAATTGCAATAGTCCCAAGTCAATATTTATGCAATACGCAAGCAGATTATAATTGAAAAATATTTTGGAGTCCTTTGAGAGAGAGAGAGAAAAAGAGAGAGAGAGAGGGGGAGAGAGAGAGAGAGAATAAATTCAAAATAGCAATAATATATTATATCTGGCAACAAAATTATAATTGACGCGAACATAATTTATATATATATATATATCCATTACACGAGTGTGAATCTTTTTTCCGGTTCAATTAGATGAACACGTGATAATCGCTTTATTTTTCACGCTACCCTCTTTATTTCACAGTTGCAAAAATTGTGAATGGTACTCATGCGTTGCAAATGAAGTAACAAGCGCTCCATCGGAAACCATTTAGGTATCGCTCAAGCGACCGCACTCCTGAAATACCAAGAATAATAGTTCATCGAAAATCAATTATCGGCTCTAGCATTCTCTTCTGCGTCGTTTAAAAAATCGCATTCATTATCCTTGGCAAGGATCGCGCAGAGACATTTCAAAGATGATTATTCAAATTCCTTTGACATTATCAATCGATGATTCATGTTGTTTGTATTATAATTTCATCGATTTAAAATTCAGTATAAACAAAAGAGAAGAATTGTCACAATCGTCGCTAAATAGATCGATCGAAACTCTCGTCATGATAAATGCTAATGCACATTTTTTACGTTAGCTTTTCTTTCACGCATACTCAAATACCTTCGTAAAACTGACGTCATTAGTTCGTGTGGGAATCGTTTACCAAAAAATTCTCGTCCGGACATAAAATGTATGGTCCTCGTATCCGATCCTCACTAAAAACATGATTTGTGTTCGCGGCGTTTGCTATTTATTGTTGTTCTCCGTGTCGGTACGTTCTCGCAGAGAGAGAAACGAGCATTGTCACTTTACCGTGATTCCGCGCCTAATCTTTCGCGATTTTCTTTTTCTTTCGTTGCTCTCTTCGGCCATGCAGGTACTACACGCGGTTTAGATGTTCTATGCGAGAACGGAAACACTTTGTTAACACAATTTTTCAAAACAAGCTTCTGATATATTTGAAAACATTTGTCACATCTTGGAATTTTTTTACTGACGTACGTAACAAAAAAGAAATAAAAAAACTTTTAACTCACATTGCAAGCAACGATAACTCAAGAATTTTTCATACATCACAGCTAATATCTCGCAATTATTTTTTAAATAAGTCACAATAACTATATAGAATTAATTCATGTATTATATTCCTAATAGCAAGATAGCTATTTATTAATAACAGAATTAACATGTTATAAATTACGTTTAAAAGATGTAACGTACAGATATATAACGATATATATAATTATAATAAACTTTAACATAATGAACTCACAATTAGTCAAACGTTCCTTCACGAATTATCCTCTGGAAGATAATAATATATTTTACAAGATGCGCGGAACAGTTTCAGCTTTCTAGTACGCTTTATTTAAAATCGCTACGATATTTCTAAACGGAGATATCGGCGATTGTATCGATTCGCAATCATATTCGCGACGCGCCGCAGCGATGCTGAGCCGATGCGTCGCTACTGTGGCAGGCGATCAGCTGATTGCGGCTACGGACGTATCTTGACCTATCCTTACTTACTCACGTGCCGCGCGCGTTCCCTACTGTTTACCAACTGCTACGCATTCCTTACAATGAATATGTCGCGAAGTTTTTAAAACGTTGTAGCTTGATGAAAAATCATCGGAAAGGCATGAAATAAAGAGAAACCTTTTTATTGTTTACCGCGTATATTTGTTAAAGATGATGTTATTGTGATACGGACACGTGCCATTTTTATGCCATTTTAATTAGAAATATCATAAAAATAGATTTCGTAAAATAAATATTGTAAATCCTATACAAAAAAATTTCTAATATTTTATATAAAATAATATTCTAACCAAAATCTCAATATAATTCTTTAATTAAAATAATAACAATATCATAATATTCCCAGACAGCATGTCTCTAAAAGACGTCTAAAAACGACTTAAAAACGTCTCTTATCTCGTTCCTTAGACATCTTTAAGATATCCTTTGGTCTTTTTGTGCTGTCTAGTAGTTATAATAAAATAATTATATTATAATAAAAATTAATATTTTTATATGTAAAATATAAATAATCTTTTGGTGTAAAAAATT